AGAAGAAGAAGAAGAAGAAGAAGAAGAAGAAGGCTCTCAGTAAGGAACTGGGTCAGGTTGTTCAATAGTTGGGTAATTGGACAAGACATTTCACTGGGAATTAGTATTCTCTATCAAGAATGATATAGTAAATACTGCACACCACTAGTCTGTAGAGTCCTCATCTCAGCTTAATAGTGTCAGTACACTGACAACACATAATTATGAGTGTGGTACTATGTCAACATATCTTCATTTAAGAATACAACTAGAAGATACATCCCTCTATACATTATAGCTTCTTTCCCTTGGTTTCCCTCAGTCAGTAAGATAATACATAAAAACAATTCTTGGATCATAGGCTGTATAAAAACAGGTGGATTGATTCATGATTATAGATTATCAATCAATTCATTTGTGACTTCAAAGTCATATTTGTTGAAAAATTTTCCTTTGAATATAACAGACACAAAGACTGTTGCAGAACATACAGAAAGTATTTTGGTGTAATAAATAGCAGCTACATATTAGAGATAGAAAAGACAATTTTTCCATATCTATTTAGTATTTTTTTAATTTTGTAAGTAGGAGTGTTTTTCTATATACACATTTAGGCACCAAATGTATGCCTATTCCCCAGAGAAGCCAAAATGGGTGTCAGATCCCCTAGAACTCAATTTGTAGATGGATTTAGATGTCATTTTATGCTGAGTATTGAACCTGGATCCTCTGGAGGAGCAGTCAGTACATTTAATCACTTAGTTGTCTCTAGCCCATAAAAAACACTTTTATCTCTTATCTGACTCTATTGCGGAGGTGTTACCATGGCTTAGGTTCCCATCACACCTCATTCTAATTTCTCTCCATCTCAGACCTTGTTTGGGATCTCTAGGCAAATCTCTAGCTCACTGTTTTCTCCTGACCTATCACCAGCATTCTTGCTCATTGCTTTTTTCCATAATTCTATGTTATGGTACATGTTGGAGTTTTCTCATTTTCATGTTGTAGCACCAATCACAGTACCTCAAAATGTGACCATTTGAAAACAGAATATTTAAAGTTATAATTAAAGCTAAATGGACCTTAAAGGTGGGGTCTTAATGAAGTATAGATAGTGTCCTTGTGAAAATAAACATCCAAGCTGTTTAAACTCACAGATAAGACCATATGTGGACACTGGGAGCAGACAGCCAGGTAAAGAAGTCTGAAGAGAAGCTAACATATTCATCTTGAGCTTCCAGCATCCAGAACTGAAGTAAGATCAACTGCCATGATGTAGGATCCCAGTTGGTTATGTTTTCTTTAGCTAACCTTAACAAACTAATCTACTTAGCTCTTCTTTGGAAATTCCTACCTCACTGATGACCATAAATTAGATAAATTACCACAGTGTTTTGAAGTGCAAGACTTTGTGTTGAGTATGTAGTTCAATTGCTGTTGTATGATGCTTTAACTGAGTATGTGCAACAAAAATATTTACTTAGTCATACACAGTGAACCAACGGCAGACCAAAGTAATGGTCATATAAAACTCTAAATTGCTGAATCAATGAGTTTGTTGGGGGTATTTTCAGATTAATTAATAATAGATCTTTTTAGCAGCAGAGACAATTCAAAGATTCATCACTGAAAATCCCACCCCAAACTGTGGGATGACTCAAGAAAACGGTATCTTTGCATGACTTATAGGTAGGCATCTTGGTAGGTCAGACAGACCTGTCTAAGTATTTTTGCCACCTCTCTTTTCATAGTATTTGCTTTCCACTTCCAAAATCTTGGAGTGGTCCTCTGAGTCTCATTAGTATTGGGACCTCTTGAGACTTGTGTGTTGTTTACTTCCTAAGATTCATAAGCTTCCCTGTTCTTTCCTGGAGGTAATGTTTTAATTTAGGAGACTTTATGGATTTGGATGTATGTGGTACACATAAACTCATGCACGAAAACACATAAAATGAAGAAATAAAAAAATAAACAAATCCAAAATATGCCTGCTTTTAGATGCTATAGAACCCACACTTGGCATTAAAGATGTGTCAAGTTTCTCAGCAGGGAAGAGGGGAAGAGAGATGCATTGGTTGAAATGGATGTGTCATTTTCAGATGTAATCTGTAACTTGTGCAAAGTCAAGCACTCCAATTAATACAAAACAATATTTTTCTTAAGAAAGGGAGAAAAGAAAACCCAGAAGGTCCCTGATTATCTCCTTACATAGTGCTTTTGTCCAGAATTGAGTCATGTACGTGGCTCTAGTAAATATTATGAAGTAGAAATGATTCCATTTTCTAGACTGATTGGGATTTATACTCAGAATAGTTGGAGTACACATCTTCTCTGAACAAAACTCTGTCTTACTTGGTGAAAGGATCAATTAAACAAGCTAGAGGTGGAGTACGTTAAGCACTATTTGTCACATTGTTGTGGAAGAGGAAAGACTCAGAGGTCAAAACAAGCTGAATTAAGACCAAATCTCTATCGCTATTCAAATAGCCTAGATTTTACAATTGTTCAAAACATCTATATTCTTTTTTTTCTTTTTTCTTTTTTTTTTTTTTTGAGTCAGGGTTTCTCTGCGTAGTTTTGGTGCCTGTCCTAGATCTCACTCAGTAGACCAGGCTAGCCTTGAACTCACAGAGACCTGCCTGGCTCTGCCCTGCAAGTGCTAGGATTAAAGGCATGTGCCACCACCGCCCTGCTCCATGTATTCTTAATAATAATAATAATAATAATAAATAATAATAATAATAATAATAATAATAATAAATTTTTTAGATAGATTAACATATAAACATTAACAACAGGTGTACTAACTATAAAATGTTTATGCAGATCAACAAGAGGCCCTGTACTCTACCAAAACTCATGAGGTCTCACACTTTATTCCACATAACACTAAATAAGCAGGCATGCTCATTCTTAGTATTCCAAGCAGTGAGGAGCTTCATCTCAAGCAGGAACAATGGAGGACACTGGCATGAAGATAGAGATGGTTTACACCCCTCACTGATTTCCTGCCTTTGCAGACTGACAAGAAAGTACACATTGTTAAACTTTGGTAGTATCGGTTCAAGAGTCTCTTCAACTCTAGATTAAAACCAGTATCTTAGATGAACAGAAATATGATCTAAAAAATAGGCAGGACCTACGAGACTGTGTGAACATAGGTCAGAAAAAAAGGGTGAATATCTTGGTATGCATTTTTGCATTGTGGCATGTACAGAATAAGATGTAAATCTAGCTGGGCGGTGGTGGCACACGCCTTTAATCCCAGCACCAGGGAGGCAGAGGCAGGTGGATCTCTGTGAGTTTGAGGCCAGCCTGGGCTACCAAGTGAGTTCCAGGAAAGGCACAAAGCTACACAGAGAAACCCTGTCTCGGAAAAAAAAATGTAAATCTAATATGAGCTTGGTGAGATGTTAGATATGAAATATTTGCCACTTTGTCTTTGTAACTGTCTCTTTTGAGTTCCCCTCTGTCATTAAGCCTTTTGGAAGCCACAGTTAAACTCTTCCATATTGATATCTAAAATGTTAAGGAAATTTCTTGCTGCCACACCAACACACTATTGTAAGTTCTGAGTCCTGGTTTCATTATAATATTATTTCACTCCTGCCCAATACAACTCTCAGTGAGATCACAGAAAGATATAGCCTAAAACGGAGAACTGTGACTCTAGGAATAGCTCATTTGTTAAAGTGATGACCTGAAAGATGGAGAATCATTAGATTGACAAAAACTATAAGGATTCTATGGCTTTCACTGAGCAGTGTCTTATGACAGAGTGTGCCTAGAAGGATGATTAATTGAAAGGGGAACCAACAGACAAAGAAGAATGTCACAACAGTGATTATATTACAGCTAGAATAAAAGGACATCACCTAATAAATATATTCCTGTCACTGAATGTCACAACACAAGTGTGTGAGTTCATGCAGCTCTGTGGAAAGAAGACTCAGAGGCATCTTAAGAATAAATATAGGGGTTGGAGAGATGGCTCAGTGGTCAAGAGCACTGACTGCTCTTCCAGAGGTCCTGAGTTCAATTCCCAGCAACCACATGGTGGCTCAGAACCACTTGTAATGAGATCTGGTGCCCTCTTCTGGCCTGCAGGGACACATGCAGGCAGAATACTGTATACATAATAAATAAATAAATAAATCTTAAAAAAAAAAAAAAAAGAATAAATATAGCCTTTCATGACTGTAAGGGTGAAGCACTTTCCCTTCACCTAGGGCATTTTTATTTACTCTCTATTTACATTTAGCCAGTTAATTTCCGTACCTTCAAGACAACCTAAAAGGAGCTCCCAGAGACCAAATGCCAAGTGCAAATTCCTTGATTTATCAGGTACCATGTTTTTCCTGGTTTCTTGAACCAAGTTTTTCATAGGCCTTTGATTCTTGGAGGACTCTCTGATCCTTGACTCTCAAATAAGATTCACATAGGGCAATAAAGAAACAAAAGGTAAGAGAAACAAAAGGTGTGGTTAAACAAAGGAAGAATTAGGACTAGATGCTGCTCTCTGGAACCAGGCCAGGAACTCAGCAGGAATGCATTAAATACTCCAATGACCCTCTACTTACTCCTTATACTTCATTCAAAAATCAATCTTAGCTTAAACTCTCTGCATCTCTCAGTTGAAGTCTTTCCTTTGAGAATAAAGAACTAATGGAAGGCATTGACCAAGGGACAATCTAATCAATTCACTGATTTCCAGTCCCTGGTAAACTCATGCCTCCCCATATTACTTACTATTTACTGCCCACCCTCTGTGTAATATCAGTTCTGGGACATAGGAGCTCATGATCTGTTTTGTAATTAGTCTGAGAAGTAATAATTCTCTGTGATAATGTACAGAATTATGCATTCCATTAGAGACATTCAATAGAGAACAAGGTTTACCGTATGACTCTTAAAATGCATACCCTGTAGAGAAAATGCATGTGGGATCTGAGTAAGGGTAGTGTAAGATGGAGTCCCATATAAGAAACAGTCATTGTTGAAATGTTTCAGATACTGACAAAATGGAAGCCAATTTCTCCATCCCTCTGAATGGATCAGAAGTTGTATTCTATGAATCTACCACCTCAAGAGTTCTATGGATCTTCTCATTGGTAGTCCTCTCCATAACATTTGTCCTTGGTGTGCTAGGTAATGGGTTTGTGATTTGGGTGGCTGGATTCCAGATGGCACACACTGTGACCTCCATTTGTTATGTGAACCTGGCTTTGGGTGACTTTTCTTTCATGGCTTCACTACCACTCCACATCATCTCAATGGTAATGAGAGGAAAGTGGATTTTTGGTTGGTTCCTTTGCAAATTTGTGCATATCATTGTGCACATAAACCTTTTTGTAAGTGTGTTCCTGATCATGCTCATTGCCATGGACCGCTGTATTTGTATCCTGTACCCAGTATGGGCTCAGAACCACAGAACTGTGGGTCTGGCTAGGAAAATGATTGTTGGAGTTTGGATTCTTGCTCTATTCCTTACCTTGCCACATTTCCTCTTCTTGACTACAGTGAAAGATGCAAGAGGGAATGTGCACTGTACAGCCAACTTTGAATCCTGGGTTACAAACCCCAAGGAGAAATTAAAGGTGTCAATTACTATGAGTACAGCTTTAGGAATCATCAGTTTCATTATTGGATTCAGCATGCCCATGTCCTTCATTGTCATCTGCTATGGACTCATGGCTGCCAAGATCTGCAGAAGAGGCTTTTTAAATTCCAGCCGTCCCTTGCGTGTCCTCACTGCTGTAGCAGTTTCCTTCTTTGTCTGTTGGTTCCCTTTTCAACTGATAATTCTTTTAGGAAATATCTGGAACAAAGAGACACCAAACATTATTCATGTGATGGTAAACCCCACAAGCACCCTGGCCTCCTTCAACAGCTGCCTCAACCCAATGCTCTATGTCTTTCTGGGTCAGGAATACAGAGAGAGGTTGATCCACTCCCTGTCTGCCAGTCTGAAGAGGGCCCTGCAGGAAGACTCAACCCTGAGCAGTGGCAAAAGCAACAGTTTGTCTTCACCTCCTGCTGACTCTGATCTACTGGAAGTGGCAGGAAAGGGCCATAGCAATGCCTTCTGTGCAACCTCATTCTCACTTTCTGTCTCATCCTATGTTACATGACATTTTTGAGTATTAACAAAAAATTTTCTTTGTCCTCTGGTTTGGGAGAAATAAAAATCAAAACTAATATCACTGTGATTTTAAGACTTTTCCTACTGAGCCTGTAGCCTATGCTAAGACTAAGGTGTCAAAACAGTATAAGAGACAAAAAAAAAAGGTACAACTGAAAGGATCATACAATATAGTATATATTAACACTAAAATTTTATTATTTTGTTCAGAAGTAAACCTTTGATGATCTTGTGGTGTGTGTCTGTAGTCCTAGCACTTCTAGAAAAGAAGATAATTCAAGGGCAGTTTACATAGAAAATTTGAGAATTAAAACCAATTTAGACTACATGAAACCAATTCTAAGGTCAATAAAGAGTTTTGCCATGAAGAAGAACAAAATCACAGCATTGTTAGAAAAGGGGTGACATTGTTGATAAACATAGTATCAATAAGGCCACTATCAGAAGGAAATATATTACGTATTTTCTCTTATTTATGAATCACCAGATTTTATATTGATTTGGAAAATTATGTATGTTTGTGTGGGTGTACATGTATACAACTACACATGAGATATGAAAGTACATTTAAACTGCCTAAGTGATCAAAGAGGCCTGACTGGAACAGGGGAGATATAAGACAAGGGAGAGAATGCATAATGGCTAATATTGATTGTCACCTGGCATAGTCTATAATCATCTTGAGAAAAGTCTCAAGGAGGGACTTTCTAGATTCATTTGATCCATGTGTGCTTCTGTGGAGGTTAGCCTTGATTACATCAATTGAGGTGGGAAAACGTCCTTATTGTGGGTGATACCAATTCTTGGGCAAGGGATGCATCATGGATTGTATGAGACTGCAAAATGCTATCTTAGTCCTGTAATCCATCATTTATACTGCTTTCTATCCTTGTGTGTACAGATAATGTAATTAGTTTCTCAAATTTATATTGCTCTGACTTCTTTAGGTTGTAGACAGTAAGATAAAACTACCATTAAAAAAATAAAATAACACCTTTCTTCCTTAAGTTACTTTTACCAGGCTATTTTTTACTAAAGCAGAAGGAAAGTAATCAAGAATATAAATTCATGCTAAGAGTGTGTCCTTGCTATGGTAAATGTCACCATATAGCTTTTATTCATTTGGAATGTTTCATGGAGGAATGTGAAAGAGTACAGATCCTTGGGATGGAAAAAAACAAGGAATGACTTAAGAGATGGAGATAGAAGAAATTAGGTAAAATTAGAGATAGCAAATACTAAGTGGGGTAAGCAGAGATGTGGTAAAGGAGAGTTAAACATAATAAAGGCTACATGAAAAAGAAATACACATGCACACATCTTATAACCAAATTGAAATATTTTTACAAGTATATTTTTGGATATTTTTGCTCCTACAATCATAAGTAATTAACAAAAATCCTTTAGACATGAGTGGGATATTAATTGTTGGTTGGTTAGGTCCCAATGTTCCAAAGTGGCCCAGGCTTTTATTGTTGCTCTTGGTTGTTCAGTAGAACTATATGATTACTCCAAATAGCTGAAGGCACCACTAATTTTTGATGCAAGATACAGAAAAATAAATTTGGAATTGACATAGAATGCCCTAGTTCCTGGCTAGCATCTACAGTGCGAGAGGATGCTATGCAGAATTCTAGGAGAAGAAAGACATCAACTATCTAACTTAGATGTGAAACCTATGACCTCCGTAATGAAAAAAAACTATGTAAGCAATGGGTGTCAACTTGTGCTATAGTGTCATGATTGTCATACAGATTACAATCGGCTCTCTGGTTGGATATGAGGACAATTTAATAGGAGGGAATCTATGTATAGTACTTAGTCAAAACACGTGGTTTGGGAGTTCATAGGCCCTATCATAGAACTTACAACTTTAGTTTATCTAAACTAAAGTACCTTCTAAATACCTATGTAAATATAAATGCCACTCTCTGGCTTATTTGTAACACAAATTGCTAAACAGTCTTAAAATTTAAAAAAAAACTATCTTCTACGATGAACTAAATGTAACTAGCAGATGTTTTCATAACATTTCACCCAAACAAAAAAGAGCATAAAACTGATCAGCACCTCATGGAAGTTTTTCCAAATATGAACAATTATTCAAAGACAAAGCAAGTCTCAACAGATACAAGAAAACTGAAATAAAACTCTGCATCCTTTTTGACCAATACAGATTAAAGTTGTATGTGAACATTAGAACAATAAAAAATAACAGAAAGTAGCCTCTTCCCTCACCCCCTCAGCAAAAACAAAACAAAAAAAATCACCTGCAACACCAATGAACACCAGAGTCATAAACCCAACCTACACCAATTAGGAACAGTGAACACTGCAGTCATAAGCCCACCCTGCACCAATTGAGAACAAGTAAAACCCCATCTCCAGACTTGGCAGACTGGAGGCCCTAGGACCTGGGGGTACATTTTGTGCCACTCCCCACAGCCATTAGAGCTCCAGGGACCAGGCAGCTGCCTCTTCCCCTACTCCCCTCACCAAAAAAAAAAAAACAACCTCCTGTGACACCAGTGACCACCAGAGTCATAAGCCCACCCTGCACTGATTGGGAACTGGTATGGCCCCATCTCCAGACTGGGCAGATCAGGTCCATAGCCCCTAAGCACTACTGGAACATTTCATGGCCCTTCCCCAAGCCATTGGAGTCCCAGGGACAGGACAGCTGTCTCTTCCCCCATTCCCTCACCAGAAAACCATCATCTGTGACACCAGTGACCACTGGAGTCATAATCCTACCCTGCACCGATTGGGAACAGTGATCACCAGAGTCATAAGCCCACCCTGCACTGATTGGGAATAGCTGCTCCCTGAAACAGAGACCAAAAGTGTCCATCGAACTAAGAGCTGCTCCCTGAGACACAGAATCCATCAGCACTGATTGGAGCAAGAGCCCAGATTAGACCAAGAGCTCCCATTAGACCAAGAGTATCAATCGGAGTAAGTGACGCTCCCTCAGACAGACACAACTTGAACTGAGTGGAGGAAGAGATGGCTAGACACCAGTGCAAAAATACACACAACAACATAAAGACCAATACAGCATCATCAGAACCTAGTGGTGCTACATCAGCAAGACATGAACATCCTAATGCAGAAGAAGCAGAAGAAATCGACCTTAAAAATGAGTTTAAGAAGATGATAGAGGCCTTTAAAGAGGAAATGAAAAATTCCCTTAAAGAAATCAAAGAAAGCTGGGCAGTGGTGGTGCACGCCTATAATCCCAGCACTCGGGAGGCAGAGGCAAATGGATCTCTGTGAGTTCGAGGCCAGCCAGGACAGGCTCCAAATCTACAGAAAAACCCTGTCTTGAAAAAAAAATCAAAGAAAAGATCAACAAAAAAATGAAAGGTATCAATAAATGCCTTAAAGAAAGCCAAGAAAAATCAATTAAGCACATGAAAGAAATAGTCCAAGATTTGAAAACTGAAATAGAGGCAATAAAGAAGATATAAACTGAGGGAATGCTAGAAATGGAAAATCTAAGTAAACAAACAGGAACTACAGATGCAAGCATAATCAACAGAATGCAAGAGATGGAAGAAAAAATCTCTGCCTTTGAAGATACAATACAGGAAATAGATTTGTTAGTCAAAGAAAACACTAAAGTCAATAAAGTCATGACCCAAAATGTCCAGGAAATTTGGGACACCATGAAAATACCAAACCTAAGAATAACAGGAATAGAAAAAGGAGAAGAATACCAACTCAAAGGTACAGAAAATATATTCAACAAAATCATAAAATAAACTTTTCCCAACTTAAAGAAGGAAATGCCTATGATGAAACAAGAAGGTTACAGAACACAAAATAGACTGGTTCTAAAAAGAAAGACCCCTTGCCACATAATAATCAAACCATTAAACATACAGAATAAAGAAAACATATTAAGAGCTCCAAAGAAAAAAAGACAAAGAACATAAAAAGGTTGATCCAGAGATGGGCCCGGCGGCGGCCGACAGGGACATTCAGGCCCAGCAGCAGCCCACAGAGATAGACAGGCCTGGCGATGGAGACAAGCAGACACAGGTAGGCCTGTGGCAGCAGCCCGCAGAGGTAGACGGCCCAGCGGTGGAAGCCGACAGAGACATTCAGGCCCGGCGGCAGCCGGCAAAGACATACAGGCCCAGTGGCGGCCCACAGAGGCAGACAGGCCCGGTGGCAGAGACAAGCAGATGCAGGTAGGCCCGCGGCAACGGCCTGCAGAGGTAGACGGGCCTGGCAGCGGTGGCCGACAGGGACATACAGGCCCGGCAGCAGCTGGCAGAAACATACAGGCCCAGTGGCAGTGACAAGCACAGGTAGGTAGGCCGGCGGCAGCAGTTGGCAGAGACATACAGGCCCAGCAGCGGCCTGCAGAGGCAGACAGACCTGGCGGCAGCTGACAGGGACATACAGGCCTGGCTGCAGACCACAGAGGTAGGCAGGTCCAGTGACGGAGACAAGCAGACACAGCTTGGAACAGGGACACCTCTAACCCCAACACCTGGGGAAGAAGCTGTCTCCGTGGGACAGAAGCAGAACAAATCTGAACACTCCATCTGAGGACAACCCAGGGCCCAGCTGCTGATCCTGCAAAACCCAACAACTTGGAGGTGTTGATGAGACTACCCCGCTCAGCTGAAACCCATCTGGGAGAGGATTCAGATGCCTACAGTTTGAAGTCTGAAGAAACAAGATCAGCTGAGGAGTTGACGGATGAACAAAATGTGTCCTGGGAACACAAAAGAAGGCGATGCCCAGCCACCAAACCAGATCACCAGAATCATAAGTATATACTTCTCTGACTGAGATCAGCTGCCCCTGAAGAGAAAATGAACAAAAAATGGGAAGAAATCAAAGAAAGCCAAGAAAAAGCAATTAAACAGATGAAAGAAACATTCCGAGATCTGAAAAATGAATTTGAAACAATAAAGAAAACACATGCTGAGGGAATGCTGGAAATAGAAACCCTGACTAAACTAACAGGAACTA